GGGGGGGGGGGGGGGGGGGGGGGGGGGGGGGGGGGAGACAAAGGCTAATTATCTGCAGTCCGGTGACTTTCTTATTATAATTGGTTAAGTTTTTGTACCATATGTTTCATACTGACACGCGCGTTACTGAGGTTTTCTTATTACCATTCCAAGTTTACCACAACGCTGACATTCCCATTTTGAAATGATCACTTCTTGGTCGGGCTTCCATTGCCCTTTCTTTCCTTTCTATTTCTTGCTGCGAGCATGTCTGGAGGTATGCGGTGTAATCAGGCGGCTGAATTGATTGCGTATCACCGCCACTTGTATATTTTTTATTTCTACTAAAAAAAGGTCGATTCAAAATTTCCTCTGTATTCACTTACTCCGAAGGCACTCGGAACTAACCCGACTGATAGTGCGCACATATCAGTAGCCCGTATGGCTTTTAGTAGCCTTTTCTTCCACTGGTTTCTGATAAGCAAGCTGATGACGGGTCCCACTCTATGTAAATGTGTCCATACCAGTTCACTATCGGGGCATGTGATCCAATCGAACAGGGATTAGCTGTTCCTCAAGCGGAATTGGAAGTTGAGTCATCGACCTTCAACGCGAAAGCAACACCATTTACCGCTACACCATCCTTACTTGTTGAGACTTATTAAGAATTTTATACTCTTCCAGTGCCTCAAACTCATCAACCAGCATGACGATGCCCATTGGATCTGTGTCCGAAACGAATCTCACACTTTCGTTTACCAATAAACGTACGTTTGCATGTCCACACGCCTCATCGTCTCTGCGAAGCGGCCATTCCACCGCCGATTTATTGCCACAAAACATTGATATTGTTGCTGCAATGGGCGATTCTGTTGCGGTATCGTTTGTTTTCTTTTTCCATGTTTAACATTCTTGGAATTTTGAACCACGCTTTTTTGTGGTTCGGACTTTTTTGATCGAGGAGGGACCTTTAGCATTTTATCATCAGGACCTGACCAATTTTGCGCGTTTTTTGCAGCTATGCAATGCAGAAAACGCATATTGATGAGGGGTTGTCTGTTTGGGTGTCTATCTGTCTGTGTTTGAGTCTGTCACGGTTTTTTATCTCAAGGCCTATAAAAGCTACAGGGCGGAAACTTTGAGCTTAATCTACACGTACGTACCAACTCCTTTCCCCATAGGACCCGTGAAAGTTTTTTACGGGTAAGTTGCTAACTCGAGAACCAGGAAAGTTAGAAAGTTGAAATTTTAAAGGGATATTTCCTGACAGTCCTGGCGGCCAGTCTTAATTTTTTAACTTGAAGCAT